GATTTACGAAGGGAATTTTACTGTAATCACAAAATGTTTTTGAATACACAAGATAGACGCAGATTTTCTTATAACTGGAACTCCAATAACTGTATTTCTTCATTGATGTCAGTGAATTCTTTTGAAGGATTTATACAAATCAACCTTATGACCCCCTTTTAAAAATTTTCTTGGCTATGCACGTAATAAATTGCGCTAGTATATCACTCGTTTTCGACAAACTACATTTTGCTTTTGACTTGTCACAATTTATGAAAATTAACTTACGGTAACATTACTTGATATACTAAGGTTATGTGCTCAATACTACGATATACATTCCAAACTTTACCGTCGAATACTGGTCAGAATAGAGGCAAATATAAAAGCTGAATTAACTGTTGATATCGATATGTACAGTTTTTCATATTATCACGTTTTTCCTTTTTTATTTCTATTGAACTAACCTTTATAATTCAGTTATGTTTCATGAATTACGTTCCACATCTGTTCGCTATAAAACGGAATGACTTCAAATGAAAACAATTAAACAAAAAGAAGTCAGTAAAGTCGGTTGAAAAATGTGCCTAATTCAACAATAAATAAGCTCACTATCATGATATCCCTTTACTTACATTTATCGTTCATAGTGTGCTCTCAGTACACAGTCGATAATAATCGTTTTCTTATGGTTACAAGAATCTACATATATAAACAAACGTTATTATCTCTGCACTGGATAAAATTCCTTTAGTTCAGTGGCTTTAATATGTAACAAACACTCTTTTAATATCTGTTCTTCATCGGTATATGCACAAACAAAGTGCAAACTTAGCGGATAATGTTAATAATTATAGGGATTTGAAAAATGTTATTACTTCAATTAATAGTTCTGCATTTAACTAGAGTCGGAAGTATCTAGGGGAATATTCTTTGATTAAGCAATAAAAATAGTTAATTTTCACAAAGAGATTTATAAATAAACTTTTTCCGTTTGATTCTTTTGTAATTAATCTAATAAAATGAAGACTTCGATGGTTTACTGCATTTTAACCTCAGAAAATACTTAACAACTAAATTTAGTTGACCTTTATTAGGAAAAGGGAAATGTAAACATTCCTTTTTATCTCCTGTATGCTTTTCTTTACGATTAACACGTAATTGACTTTATTTGTGATTATCTTCTAGCAATTTCCATTGTAATTTCTCGCAAAAATTGGTAGTTCATTCAGTGTTTTAGATTTTTATATTGTTAAAAAGTGAGATTGACCATTTTATTCAATTGTTTTTCACCTGTCATTCACAAATTGACGTATCTGGTCTCAAAAGTTAATTTTGGTTGAGATACTGATATTTTGGAGTGAATCTTAGTTTCTGTGATCATACTGGATAAAAGCTCCAATTATATTTAGCATACATTGAAACAGAACCATCTACAAGGTCTAAGACGCGCACTACGGTGGCGTATTTTTAACAGACTTCTATTATATGTGAAAATATCTGTTTTACTGCGTCATATGGTTTTTTCAGTACTGAATAGGAAGTCAAAATGAATATGCACAAAACCAGTTCACTTGCTTGAACAACCTAATAATAAGTCACTATATACGAGACGGCATTACCCATGGATATCGACATTTTCTGGTGAAATCAAATTAAGGTCTTTGGGATAGCAGTACAAAACGTCTAGACTAGAGGCAGTTAATGATAACATTAAACATATAGGTGTAAAACTTGAGCACTGTGGTAGAAATTAATTCCATATTATATCTGTTTATTTGATTTATAGCACACAGTGTTATAAATCAAATAAACAAATTTAATATGAGATAATGTCAAACCTCCGAAATCCTTATTCAGACTAAATCTTCTCAAACTATGAGTTCTCCGCTAACCACCCTTGAAAGTTGTGGTGCACGAAAAAAGAAATTGTATTTTACCTAAAGTGTATTGTCAAAAGTTTTGACACAGTTCAGACAAATGAAATTTCTACTACATATTTAGAACGATATTATTCGAAGTTATTCTAAGCAAACTATCAAAAGTATATCATTCAAGAGAATCTGAGTTCTTTGATCTTCATTACTTAATTACGATGAAGCCGATAGAAATAAAACTAATATCAGCAACATATTTCTATACTCTTGATTGTCAGATAGTGTCAATTTACAAATAGTTTATGTGTATGCCAAACAACAAGCTGTTAAGTTGATCACTTCTGTGTTTATCAACTACTCTAACTAAAACTGCAACAGAAGTAGGAAGATCCAACAGCCTTACTGTCCATTTATTGATCACTATCCAGTGTTCTTGGATAAATGAACACCTAAAATTATCACATGCCTAATACTGAACAAACCAGTTAGGAGGATGCACCAGAATTACAAAACTTCAGCTTTTACCATGCATGCAACCATTACAGTCCTTTAAATAGATACTTATAGTGCCACCAAACATATTGCGTGAAACAGACATAAAAGCTTGCAGAAGAAATATATGTAAAAAATTTGCTTTCATTTCGACTTCTCCCCCAGTTACCATCAGTTCAGAAGCACTTATAACGACTTTTCTTCCAAACAAACCGAATGAATTTGAATATTGTCTTGATTAAAGTAGTTGCTACCCTCACAATTATTGCAGTGTTCTGTTTTCATCTTCTTATTCTGCCCCAAAATTCTGATTGAGCTGAAAATTATAGGCCTTCCATCATATAATTATTATGCGACACTAAGTTTATCCCTCTAATTTAACACATCCATATTCTTCCAATACGTTCACAGTGTCTCTAAATACACGCAGATTTGTGTATGATTTCGGTATTATAACTATCACCATAATTATTGACTGGCTGAAATCAAGAAATTCAAATTTCAGTAGCCATAATGGTTTTCCATGTTCACTTGAAATGATGTCGGTGTGTAGTTACACAGTCTGATGAGCATTTTCGTAGAAGGTACAGGGAGATAAACATATGGAGCTCAACAGCAACCTAAACACAATGACTCTCAGAATGTATTATGGAGTTGGCCAACTTTTTTGTACTAAAAAAGTGCCAGGATGATTGGCAAAGATTTTCCCCTGATATGTAACTTTTAATGTGCATAGCTTGTACAGTATGCTCAACTGTAGATGATAACATATGTTGGATATATTTAATACATCGAGGTTCAAAGTTTCCGGATCGCTTGCTTCGTTTTTAGTCGATAATCTGCTACTGCTGCCAAGACATACATGATATGAGTTTGGATGACATCCATCAGCAAAGACGACTTCTTTCTCAACTGTTTGTTATGGCTGAAAAGTAGTTTAGAGAAATGGTTGCAAATATTATTGAAGGTCAAGGGATTACTTTCATTAGTAACAAAATATATTACACCATACAGTAGATGGTAGAAATTACACACTGCAGGAATTATACAGTATTTAAAAAATGCAACCATTCAGCGATCAATAGAGTTGGAGACAATCAAAGATGTATCTGGAAAAAGAAACCACTATAAACAAACAAAAAAAGAAGTTTAATTTACATAGCTAAGTTATAGCAACAGAAATGCAGCATACAGCATATTTGCGTATAAGAATTGAAGACCTATGAAATTAAGGTTATAGTACTAAAAAGGACTTAACATAAGGTTTTTTCATATCCAGTTAAAGATTTCAACCATAAATAGAAAGTGTATCCATTATGCAAAGAAGATTTAAGTGAACGACTTGGTTTCATTTCATGTATCATGCTATAATAAATTTGTTAAGATACTGCATGACTTGATATGTCATTATGCTTCAAAGTACAATCACTACTTTATCTTCATTTTCTTTCTGATGTCAGGAAAGTGAATATTCATGTGTAGGTCTTGACAGTGTCCCTTTAGTTACGCTCAATATACTTACAGTGACATAAGAAGGCAAATTTTTGCACACGAGGTGCTACCAAAGACGTTGTTTTTAATGTTTTGAAGGACTAATCTAAGTACTGGAAAGTAGAAGGCTTTGAAAAGTGACGAAGAACATTATTTGAACTATTTTCGATATGCTAGTTGAAAGAACTTAATCAAAGCCATTATGTTTGAATTTCAGATCCATATGCAAGTGTTTCTTGAGCGAGAGATGAGGACGATATTCAAAGAAAGTAACCGTTTAGAATTTACATTGAACAGACTGTGACTGGGCTTTCTCAGTGCCATTTGGTCGTGCTAAGCGATATAATCTTCAACTTTCACTCTGTTCATTTATGAAAACTATTTGTCCTGTTTAATCAGGTTTGCTGACTCTCGGTAGATTCGTTTCTTGCTCTGCACAAGATAAACCGGATTTACTTCACTTGTTTTCATTTGATTTTCTATCAAATGCTGATGTAAAAGATAAATAGTTTAAAGTGAAGGTTAATAAACTTATATTTCAACTGTAGAAGGCTAAGCATTACAAGTGATTTAAAAATGAAAAGGAAGACACAACAGTGAGTTTCCTATCTACCGAGACACTTCCGGTTTAATGTCACATGTTTCCTAAACTAATCAGAGGCTATAACTCATATGGGAGAACTCAAGACAAGGATAAGGATTATAATTAAAAAAAAGGGAAGTCTAAAGAACTATGGATCAATAGGCTTTGTAGAGAACTGTCATTAGTGACCTTTTTCAGAGTATTCTTACATTTCATTCTGCCTGTAAAACAACAAAAGTAAACGTACATCAATAAAATTGTCTTTTAGCATTTACTAAGAATTCAAAAACGTAGTTATGGTCAGCATATATTTGAATTGAATTCTACAAGGTTATCCAGCTAAACTGTTTCAGAATGTCGAGAGATTAACTTTGTTTTCTTTAAGGCTTGCGTAAATCATGAGCCATGTCTAAGCTACAAGGTTTATTGTGATCAAAATGTTCCTTAGATGTTACATATACTTATTGACTAGAGATCAAAATGACCTTCACCTTTTCATCTCTATGAATTTATGAGAAAGACTAAATTAAGATGAAGTCAAGCATTGTTGATGTTTTTATTTCTATCTTCTTTTATAGCTTTTATCAAGGATACCAATTGAGTATGAGTGACTTGAGAAAGGCTACTTCTGCATCAAAACAAGCAGCAGGTTGCTTGTTTACCAATTTTGAAGATGTTCGAGTAAGTCATTTATAATTACACTCTGTGCTTATTCCCGAAACTCTGTAGTTCCAGTTTCTTGATAAGTATTGACAAGAAATAACAAATGTATTGTAGTTATATTGTTTTCTTTTCCTAATTGTTATTATTTATGTCAATGTATTTTTCTTATTCTGCAAGGTCAAAAAGAACGTAACTTGATTATAGCCTGTTAATGTTTAATGTACGAAAGGTTGGTAACGCTTAGAGTGTGTTTATATCTTCTGGAGGAAATCAAGTTGAGTAATACGATGCTTTCAAGTAGTATACGAGTAAAAATAACTGCTGAAACTCATTGTGCATGAGTATTTAGAAGTAGTGCTGAATCTTTTCAGTTAGTTGACTCAAAGGCATGAAGCTATTTTTCACGCTTGATTATATACTTATCACCAAAAGGTATCTCTGCAGTATCAAGGAAACTCATGGTCCCTCCCGGACTCGAAAAAAGTCAATAAATGATTCAGTCGCATACTTCACCAATAAACTGTTTCTGCTGCATACTGCTCCCCCCCTTCCCCGTACAACAAAAGTATGCACAACTACTAGTTACTAGACGACAAGTGATAGAACTGTAAGGGTTTTAGTCTCCGGCTTTCATGAAGTATCGATCAAGTTTCACGTCATCCGGATTTCTGGCCAAACGGTGGACTTGATCTACAGGTTTTGGTTAGTGGTGATCACTTAGGATATGATAAATAAATCAGTGGATGTGCAAGCTAAACACCTGATAGTTTTGTCTATCAACAAAAGAGTAAATCAGCAATAAGGAAATGTTGAAATTTTTAGTAAGAACAATGTTTTAAATGTAATTTCGAAGTTATCTCTTAGACAGCATCAACGTTCAATCCACTTTGCTGAAAATACTTGAGTTACAATTGAAGCTTTCTTTTTTGCATGTGTCTGAAGTGATATATTTACCGCTGATTAAATGACCTACAAAATTAATTTGCCGAAATTAATTCAAAGTGATACAGAGCTAATAAAAGTAATTAAAGATTCATCTAGACATCAGTGAAAAAGATTACAAGATGCATTAAAAATTAAGCAAACAATTTCTTCTAATTACTCTCCTTGGTCAAAACTAAAAAGGTGTTTACTGGATATGAATGAAAACTTTTATTTTGAAAGTTATATCAGCCTCTTTTATAGGTGAACCTCTATGAGAATTATTGCATTGGAATACCAAATGAGAGTTCAGATTTGCTCGACAGAAAGAGAAAAACAAATAACTTTCTTAATCATCATTCAGTGCGTCGGTTGTAGTTCGTTTTGAGTAACGTATCTAAGAAATCTGTTTAGCAAACAAACGTCTACAAGCAAACCATGCTGTAATTTCACAGTTTCTTCCCTGCTCTTCAAACCTCATATCCTTCTCAATTAGTAAACATACGATTGAGTATCAATGTTCGTTCAGCTAAGTAAGTTCAAGCCATTCATTGTCTGCAGTCTGAACTGAAGTGCATAGCATACCATCATGACTTGCAACTGATAACCGGTGACGGGTATACAATTTGTATACATCTACTCAGTAAGAAGGAAATTTTAAGTATTCTACAGTTTACTTTCAAGAATGCTGTAGTTTTGGTGAAAATCTTTCATTCAACGGGAAATTACCAACTTTTGAGGATAAATGTAGAGTTCACCTGTCCAGGTTTGAAGCAAAGCAGTCATTTTTGTGACATTCAGTCACCGATTCCAGTCGGTGAAATAAAGAACCGGTATTTACTAAATACTTATTTCATCACTAAGAAACATTGAATAACTGAAAACGCAGCAGTTTTCTTGATATTCTTTTATAGCTTCTGATAATTAGTGAATTTAATTTCATTGTTGTGTAAGTACGGCTGCAAATGCATTCAATTAGGGCAGTAAATGAATCAAATTTTGGAGATAAAATAGTATTGTAGCATAAAGAAGTGAATAATAGGAAAATGAAATCAGATTATTATACTGAGTGAGTTAATAGCTACATATCTGCCTTTTAAAGGTATATAAATATTTCTTCCTTGAAATGTTAAAGAAGATATACAGTTATACGGAAAACTGTCGATGTACGAATACGCATTGAACAGGTTTGCAAATGGTGAGTTTACAGTAACAGACTGAAACTAAATAGATTAGTTGAACTCATTTCTATGAATGCTTTTCGCTGGTTACCATAAACAAATTTCTTTAGATTGAATTTGTACAGGGATTATGAGAATTAGCACTTGTTATTCAACAGATGACACAGAAATAGTTTGGTACACACTCATGCATAGCCAGATATGAAAAAGTCTCACTATCACTTGTGCACCTATCCACATAAAAGCAAAAACAATCCAGTTCTTAGGTCCATTCAGTCATGTGACCCTTCATTTACAGTATCCTCTGGAGTCTATTAAAACACTCAGTGATTCAATTTAATTCATGCTTATCGACTGCCTTAAAACGTAGTTGCTGAGCTACTGAGAAAATATCCAGAAACAAACACTGTCAAGAAATAATTCCCCAATGAAATTCGTAGGTGTCTGTATGAATGAACTAACAGATTTAAAAATTACCTCCAGGAAAAATGGAACGGATAGTTATCAGTTAGCGAAAGTATCCTGTTAGGGATGCAGAACAGATTGTGCAAGGTAAAGTAAGATTAGCGTTTGAACTTAGCGTATCTTCTATACTCCTAAACTAACGCAGTTTAGAGATAAACTTACGACACGTATTACTGAACAACTTAAAGAATTAGAAACAAGACTCATTTACAGATTTCAGCAACCATATCTCAGTGTTTCCTTTAACTTGGTTTTCATCATAAATTGATATTAGTTGGAGGAACACTGGAAACCTGGAAGCATTGGACAGCTGTTTTTTCCTAGTATAGGACTCTTCAGCAGTGCACACCCACGACCTCGCCAGGGATCGAACCCGCGACCTTCATATCTGAGTGATCCAAACTCCGGACGGCCGTTTCGCTAGTTGTAAGCCAAGTATTGGTGTACGTGGACAAATTCAGCTCACAAAGCCGAAATATGAGATATGTTAACGCAGACCACACAGTTTTGGGATCAGTTGTGAGCTGAACATGCTATTTCAGAAATAAACTTGTTTATATTAGCAGAGATCAGATGTTATGGAAGACATCTGAAATCTTCAGAAAAGTTCACGATAACCAATGACATCTCAGTTGTAAAAGTATTCGTAGTAACACTCAGTACCATACGGGTGCATCGATGTCAAAAACCAATTCTCATCACCTCTAATAAGACTTACGTGACAAGTGGAATTGAAAGGAAGCAAAAAGGATGAAATCTTAACTTTGCGCCCAGTTAGAGTACCTGTTAAGAAGAACCCACTAAAATTCATATCACTGCCATGACTAACTTGATTCTGAAATCTTTGTTTCAAATAGTACCTAGATTATCCAGTTACATATAATTGATTAAAAATAAGGCATTTTCTAATTTTTACAGACACTGAACATTTGATTTCCTGTATTTTACACTCTGATTTTACGCCCCTATATTTAAAACTGATTAATTAGTTGCAAATACATGAAGGGGACCAAAAGATAAACAGATTTCCCTTTATTTTTCTCATCAAAATAAAGGCATCAAATTACATGCAAATTTTTCAAAAAATTGGAACTTGAGCTGATTAATGAGTTAAAAAGTCCTCAAATAGATAAATGTCTATGATAACAACACTCAAATCAATCATCATTTGAACATTTAACGTGTCATGGTTTAGGTGTCAATCTCTCCATGCATAAATTGCCTGTTAATATTAACCCCTCTGCTAGTAGACAGATGAAGCAGAGAATTTACTTAGTTGTCCTTTGTTACAATTTGACGTTAAAGAAACACATAGATACCATTTGAAATACCCTCTATGGATAGTCAGTATAAGTAAATTCTTTCATTCTACTGAAAAACCCAGTGTTATGCAACAATCAAATATCTGAAGTTGTGATGCATTTGGTATGTTACCATAACTTTCCTACCCTAAGGTGAGCAGTATTCTTAAAAACACTGAAATTATAATGAAAAGACATGGCTTTGTATTTATGAGTGCTTGATATTATTGTGATGAATAATTGTAATAAATTTATGATTGCTGTGACATCAGTTTGTTTCTAAAAGTTAGCCTCGGCGTGTCTAGGAGTTAATATAACATCCTTTTCAAGATTTTTGAGATGCCATGTTGACGTCTGATTTATTCCTTTATTCGTGATTGGACTTTTTCTCCGGAACCAGTTACTTTTATTTTCTTAGTGTTTCTTCTTGATCTGTGTTGTTGAGGTACAGTTCCTTGGTTGGCTGCTATTGTTTGTATCCAAGCCGTCCCTACCTATACTTGCTGTCTTGAGCTTGTATATCACAAAGACCCAAAGAGCCACACTGGTGTGACGCTTGTTCCATCAAAGTCAGCCCAAACCAGAAAGGTCTTTTGGATATTGTTTGAATAAAAGCCAGTTACCTTTATCCTTAAAATTTTCGCAAACAAAAAGATGAGATATTAGGGTGACTTAATTCAGTCATCAGAGGTCAGCGAAGGTCTGAAATCACAGGACGTACATCCAACTACATAATACAGGCCAATTGTTGTGTAGTCAAAAGACTGCACGTGAATGACTTCTAGCAGATATCCGGTGGGCTCTGTGGTCACGCACCAACCATTCTTTCTCAGGTACCTAAAGAAGACGTAACCCTTCCACGGTCTGGGCAGCCGGAAAGTGTCAATCGCCCTAACAACTGTCAAAGCTCAGGTTCCTTCAGACCACTATCCACCTCGCTAATCCTCACCTTCTAATCTTCCTTCACGTTTATCAGTTAACAATCCTACATCATCTTCAATTTCTTTCAGCTCTACAGCTTCCAACAACTATCTGAGTCCACAGAACAGCATCTTTGGTCTTCTTAAACTACATTCCAAATTTTATATTGAAGCCATCAATGTACGCACTCTCCGTCAAATTGGCCGACAAGCATCACTGGCCAAAAGTA